CTACTGCTCAGGTCTTAAGCTCAGCTGTTAAGGAGAAAACAGCCAAATGGAACAAACTAGGAAAGGAGCAGTCCTTTCTTTGAGTCATATATACTTACAGGAGTGATCTCATTGAAATTAATAAGGCTGTCTGCATGAGCAAATGCTTCTCATTTGGATTAAAGCAGTTTCCATGTGTTCTCTGACTTACTTGGCTTTTATTAGCACATTTAATGTTTTTTTTTTCCCTAACTAGATCGTTTCCTTGCTTGTGGATTTCACTTTTTGCCTTGCTAGCCTCTGGGCACTGGTAGGGCTTTCCTTGCTGGCTTTCCTTTGAGAAACCCTCGTGTAGGGAGAAGTCCCTTCTGGGGACAAAAGAAAACCAGAACAAGAAAAGGATGAGTTGGGCATATGGCCAGAGGCACGTAGCCAGGGGGATTCCAGCAGGACTCGGCCACATGTCAGGCTGGTGACCATCCCTCTGCACGGCTGTCCCAGCCCACGGCAGGATGAGGCTGTCTCACTCCTCGGAGCAGCAGAGGCTGGGATTGCTTGGAGAAGCTCTGCAGAAGAATGGCAAATGGTTTTCCGTGCTTATGGCTGAGTGTGAGCTCATGGGTCTCTTTTTATTTTGCCATGCACAACTATCATGAAAAATGTACCTTTTCCTAAACTTTATTCTCTTGCATCTAACCTTTACTTTTTGTGTTTTCTTTTGAAACAATTGAAACAAACCAAAGCAGCAGACAGTGTGTAAGCATTGCATAATTTGTCAGAACTGGATGAATTTGTAGAGGCTCTGGTCCTGAGCAGTGAGGTTCCTGCAGATTTGAGGTCAACCTTTATTCACACACTAGCCCAGAGGGCTACTGTATACACACAGGAGAATTATAATGACAGGTCTTGTGAGAGCTTTGGTTTTCTGTTTTACTTTTTACATGATTTGGCCTGGCTTTTCTCACCACTAAACCCACATTACACCTGACTTGTGGTGAATCAGGCCTGCTGTTTGCTTCTGATGGTTATCTTTACACCAAAGCCACAGTACAACCTCATGTGAAAGAGAAACTTCTGGAGGCGAGGGCCAGGGGAAGCTTTCTGATTCTTCCAAGAAGGTCAATATGAACAACAGCAAAAAAATATCCCATCAAAGACAGGCCAAGGCCATAGAAATATGTTCCTGTGCCCACCCCTGCTGGGAAAAAAAATGGTCAGAACTGTGCAGGGAGCCAGGTCTGATGGTGCTAATTTTGTATGTAAATGGTGACAATAGAGGTCTGAGCCAAAAGTCACCAACAACTGTGGTGAGGCTCTGACTATCTGAAATTTTACAGGGGAGAGGTAGGAGGAGCAAGCAGATGGTTGAGGAAAAAAACAAAAAAAAAGTCAACAGTTGATTTCACTTGAGGCCTGATCCAAAGCGTCAATCAAGTCTCACAAGGTGTTTAGCTTCAGATGTGTAACATCTTTTCTTTTTTTTATGAGAGTCCTAGAGTTTGTAGCCAACTTCCCTGTAACTGCAAAATACACTGAAATCACATCAAGTACGTTAGCTTAAAGTGTGATTGGTGTTCATCTGCCTGTCACACAAGCTGCAGCTTTATCAGAAAATGATTTCAGATACAACCAGAATATACTATCCAATAAATAATTCATGACAGAAGGGAAGCCACATTTCTCTCTATATTGGCATTTCATCGTGCAGCCGCTGAACCACAGCTTGTTTTTATACAGAGCAGCAGACTCCATTTCCCAGCTAGAAACATTCAATCCCATCTGGTAGATCCATTCCCAGCTAGATAATACCCTACGTATCTATGTAACATACAAGCTACTGTCAAACAGCAGCGAGCCGTCTCCCCGAGACAGCTGTTCCGCACAAGGGCCGCATTGTCTGGAGGAAGCGCGGATCGTTTTACGGGGAGCGCCGGGGGGATGAGCCCTCTGTCAGCTGCCATGGCATCGAGAAAACCTCGCTCATCACACGTTCTCCTTATTTTGTTATCTGGCCAAACACATGCTGGGCATGTCAGGTTGGAAACAAAGGATGCATTCCCCGCTCTGGTTATGTTTCATTAGGGAAAGCAAAGCAAACGCACCTCTTCTGCTCCTTTCCTCTCTCCCTGTAAAGTGTAGAGATGTACGAAAAAGACGTTTTTCGGGGCAGGGTTTGTAACAACCAGGCTTTTGTTCCTGGCGCTGCTGAGGGGGCAGAGTGGCCCCGGCCATATGCTTTTCCTTGGCACCAGGTAGAGCGGGACGTGCTGGGGCGCAGCAGAAAGCCCTGCACAGCCTCTGTGGGAGGCAGCTGCCACGTGCCACGGCAGCTGACAGCGTCACACCGAAATAAGGACTGCCACAGCAGCCACCAAACCCAGGTGACCCTTCTCCTCCCGCCACTTCCAGTGACCACGAGAAGCACCAGGACACATGCCGGGTGTGCTGTGAGGGGGCATTGGGATTAGCTAGCCTAACCATTCCTTTATCTTCCCTATAACTGACCCCTCCCACTGATTGCCCAAAGAGACCTTTAAAACTGTCGTATATCAAAGACACCAAGACATTGACAGAAAATTCTGTACAGATAGGCATTTTCTGCATCTATCAGGCTCATAAAATTCACTTCATATTCTTTTTCTATGACTTTATTGGTGCACCAACTACCTTGGTGCACAAATAAAATATTTATAGGTTTTTCCAGTATTATCAGTTCATAGAATGACAGAATAGTTTGGGTTAGAGAGGACCTTTAAAATCATCTAGTTTCAGCTCCATTGCCTTGGGCAAGGACACCTTCCACCAGACAAGGTTGCTCAAAGCTCATCCATCTTGAACTCTTGTCCTTGAACCCTTCCTTGTCCTTCATGTCCTTGAACCTTTCCAGGGATGGGGCATCCTGAACTTCCCTGGGCAACACTGTTCCAGTGCCTCACTACCCTTATCATAGAATATGCTTTCCTTATGTCCTAAGTTGTTATGACTTATAAAAGTTGTGTGTTTCCTGTTTGTTAAGTGTTCACACTTCTTTTTCAATCTAAAATCTTATTGTTCACAAGGTTTATTTCTTCATACTACAGAAACAACAGAAACTCTTTTATCCTGATACATGTTCAAAGAGATTTTTGAATGCATTGATGATGTGAGTTAAAAATGAGATTCAAAAATTCTAGAACTTGGGAAATCTGGATCTGCTTTTAAGGTCAAACATTCCATATGTTTTCTTCAGAAGAAATTGTCAGCCTATTGTATAACATAAATTTTATATAAATATAAAACCTTTACATATCTTAAAATTCAGGTTACGTTGTATGTGCCATTAAAATAAATTTCCAGTTGCTTACAATTTTGTCCAACTTTGACTATCTAGATCCTACCTTTTCATTCACTGGGTTGAATGGAAAGCTCCAGCAGAAACAGCTTGTGCATGTCTAAGAATTTTTTTCCAGTGTTAATTTCTTTCATAAATCAAAACCTTTACATTTCAGAAGAATTCAAACATTTCTCTTCTTGAAAGGAAAGGTTAAAAATTTTTAAGAAGCAGTTCTGTAGCTGAAGTAATAGTCCTTGCTTTGGTAGTAGCTAATTTGGGAGTTGGAAAAATATTACTTTTATATCCAGGATAATATGCTTAGGCATGTCTAAATTATAAAAAACTGAATTCTTTATAAGCAGCTGCCTCTTAGTGTTTCCCAGAAGCTCACTTCTAAAACTTGAAACAGCCTTATTTGCAAGGAGGATTTTCACAGATTTACCTCTGTCTGAAGTTCACAGCTAGCAATAGTACTGTTCCTTGTAAGAGAAATAAATGGGAAAAACCCTTCTATTTTTACTGGGAGAAAAAATTCTGGACTGGGAAACACATGCTCAGCCCTTCTGCCCTAATTAGAGTAAACAAATAAGATGTGAACTACTCAGCCCTCAACCCTTCCGGGTAATGAAGGTTTACTAGACAGTCCTGTTACTTTACAGGTAGGTTAATGTTGCTGACAGTGGTGACAACTGAGATGTAGTTTGCATGTGTGTGGTTTTTTATCACACAGTATGAAGAGCTTCTTTTATTGGGATGGTCAAAGCAAATGAGAACCGCAAGGGAGATGTAGGGTGGCTGGAGAGGGAAAAAGAGAGAGAGAGGACAATTTAGAAGCATAACTGCAATCTCTTTCAGTAGGGAGAAATATCTAAATACTCTTATGCCAATCACCATCTGAGAAGTCAACTGAAATATGAATTTAATGAAAAGGAACTACAGTCTGTTAAACTGTATTCTAAAGTTATGAGAAGTGATTTCAAACAGAAGAGTTAAGAAACATTAATACTACAAGATCCCTAACCACATTCTCCTAATTATCCGTTGAACTATGCAAACCCAAAAACCAATACCACTGGAGTTTCAGAAGCGCCGAGCATTTGCATTCCCTGTCAGCTTTAATAAGGATTATGATATACATACGTACAGTCCTTCTGAGAATCACAACCACAGCTTCATTAGCTAAGTAAGAAAGGGCACAATACAGAATTCATTGGAGTGAATTTAACCTATATTAAATACTTCTTTGCAGTTGCAATATTATTGTGTGTGGTTACTTACTGTCCTCAGGTAAGTTGTTTTCCCGTTCTTCTCTCTCCATCTGTTGGCACCACCCCTCCATACGATCTCTCTCTGCCTGAAGTAGCTTCAGAAACCAGTGGCCATCTCGTGGGCACACTGACCTTTGAACAGCTTCCAGAGGATCTTCAGTAATAGAGTCAATCCATGGGTCAGGAGGAGGTAAAATGGATGGATCAAAATCTGTCTCAAAGTCATCATCCACTGCACATGCATGGTAATGGTTTCCTGACCCTTGTATGCTAACGGTAGAGGTGCTTGCATCTCGGGAAAACTGTCTTGATATTTGTCCAGAACATGTATTGTCCTCTTGAGGGTCGATTATTTCAAAGTTCTCATGGAAATCCAGGTCTGCTTGCACAGCTGTTGTTACACTATTAGACCGTGTAAACCTGCGAAAGCTTTGGAGAGCACAAACAGAAAATGTTTAGAAAGTTTTTTCTAAGCAATTCAGCATGGAAGGACTTACTAAGATTCTGCCACTCTTCCTAAGACTGGCAGTCACACCTCTCAGTGCTACACTCGGGTGGTTTTTTTTTCTTGAAATGATCAGCATAAGCTTTTTTTCTCATTGCAAGCAAACAAACAAGCATCTCTCTTTTTCCATGCAAACTCACTGTTTATTGAAACAAGGACCTCTAATTGTTATGTGACTTAACAAAGCCAGAGGCCAGCCCAAGAGAGAGATACCAGTGCCAGCAGCTCAGGATTTTAGATTACTGATTAATGAAAAGTTAAAGGGGCCCAATTTTCAGAAGTGGTTTATCTTTCAAATTTTTAAACTCACACCCACTCACACATCCAAACTCACAAGCCACATTTAAAAATCATACATGTGAAATCAGTAAGATACTAATACCAATGAGTCTACTACATATGTAATATTATACATTCCATTTATACAAAAAAGTACTTTTAACTCAGAAAAATATTTTTATTGCTCCTTCATGACTATATATCTGCCATCTCTAACAATTTCAGTGCCCATTGCCAGTGTCCAAACATTCTATTTTTCACATTCAAGCTTCAGTTTCAAAATGATCTCTTTTTCACCAAAGCTAGCACTCTCCTGCCTGTGTTACTGTCCTTGTGATGGCTGCTCTCCTGTAGGCAGCTGCATGTCACCTTGCAGAGCTCCCCTGTGTTGGGGCATCTGAAGGCAAAGGCAGGAGCAGGGGAGAGAGGAGGTTTGGGTGGTTGAGTTGGATGGGTTTTCTTTACGTAAACAGCACTTCGGATTCTGCAGTCTGAGGCATCTGACTGAAAAGGCTGACAGAGGAGGAGCACAGAGAAGTATAAGGAGTGAAAGACAAGGAATGAGGAATGTTGTTGCAGGAGGTGGTAATGAGAGCCCATTTGATAGCAGTGAATTGTGGAGGTATGAGTGGAAAACAAGTGAGGCAGACTGCTGTCTTGCCTCATGATGAAAAAGAAGGTAGAACCATAAAGTAAGCACAGATGTTCCTCAAATCAGTAAATATTTAGTGTTCAAGATGAACAGTTTTGAACTGAATAGGGACAGATTCCCATCTCTTCTTCTTACAAATCCAGGATGCCTGTGCACTCATGCAGTAGTTATTCTCCAATTTGTTCTCAATCTTAGCTTGGTAGTATTTATCCTTTGGAAAGCAGAAAAAGCATTTTGTTATGGACTGATACAGCAGAAAAAGTAAGAAAGGGAGGAAAAGGGTCACTGGGGAGGTGGAATCCCTTCCACAGGAGAAAAGGTTTAGAAAACATGGCTGAGCAGAAGACTATGGGAGATCTATGAAATTCTGACTAGGGGATGTGTCACCATTTCTCTGATTGCAATAACTGTGGGAGGAAGGCAGCCAGTTGCAAGGCTTAGAGGTCTAAAGATCTACATCTAATGAAAGGAAGTACTTCTTCACACAATGTGTGATTAAATTGCCACGGAATCCTGGAAAAAGCAAAGGTAAAAATAGGTTCAAAGAGAACTTGATCAAATTCACAGGAAGAGCCATTACACATCTCATATTTGGCTTAGGAAGTTCCTGAACAACAGAATACTAAATTGGGAATGTCTACTGGGAGAACTAGTGCTTAGTTCACAGACTTTATACTTTACACACTCTCCTTTATACTTTTCCTAAGTATCTGCTATGGGCCCCTGGCAGAGAAAAGCTATCATACTGGTATGAGTGATTAGAGAGACACTAGCATTAGGTTTACATTACAGTGAAAATCTATTGTGAATCCAATCCATGTTAGTTTTTTTTAGAAATTGCTTTAATTTGACCACCAACCTGACAAATCCCTTATCTGCACTGAGGTATACAAACACACAGAACACACACACAACACATACACAAAAACATGTGTGCCCACACAGGCACATGCTGACTGAGGATTTCTTTTTAGTCATTTAGTCAGGGTTCACTGACAGCCAAGTCATTAGTACACAGTGTACTTTTCCACACCTTCCATAGCACTGGTGAGAAAAGCAAATGCCTTAGTTCAGGCTTGCTCGTCTCCATGTTCCTTCCTCCATTTCACAGCCACCTTCTGCTTTCTCTGGTGCCCTAGACTCTGACATTCTTCTGTTTCAGATGACCACTTGTGTTTTCAGTTAACACCCTGGCTTTCCAGTGTAGGCCAAAACCCAAATGTGAAAGCATCAAAGTCTGCTTGACAGGAGGATGTATTGCTGGAGGCTCTACATTTCAAGGCTTTCAGGAGTGTGCTCTTAACTGGGTTCAGTATGAGCTAGTACCAGCAAACCCAGACTCTGCTGAACAAATGAAATAGAATGACCTACTTTTTTTGCCTTTGTTTTATCTATATAATAGTATGCTACAGGTTTGCATGACAGTTTCTTGGCACTGGATTATGTAACTTATCTGTCTTCAAAAGAAAAACAACTTGGCAATAGAATATAGCATCAGTTCAAAATTAAAAAAAAAAACTTCCAAGGAAATGTATTTTGAATAAAATGGAAATGTAGGAAGGCACTTACTATCTGCCTGCCTCCAACTCATCTGTAAAAAATGCCTAATAGATGGTAATTTTAGTCTCTGACACAGCTTCCTCACTCACTTCCAGGATGTTTTACTCCTACAAAGTACCATTTGTGTTCCACATGAGCCTTTTTTGCTTTGCTCTCACTTAAAACTCCATACTAGAGGAGAGCTGTTGAAGCTAATGATAAAGTTTTTGCAACTTCTACCATATAAAACATTCACAAGTTTACCTAAAAAAAAAAAGGAAAAGGTTCAAAACAGAGGTTTGCTTCTTCTTCTGCTTTCAGGCTTGGTCCTTTTGTACTCAGTTGTGCCCTGCAGGCACAAGGTGTAATAATTACATCTTCAGAGAACTGCAGCAGATATTTGGCCTAGGGTGCAGAAAGCCATGAAACCTCAGACTGGATAAACCAGTATGGAGAACAACAGAATGAAGTGTTTTGAACAACAACATGGTCACTTGTTGGCATTCAGCTCTCAGCTTCTAAGTCTTTGGCTTTCTTTTGCAAAACATGTTTGCAATTCAACTTAGATAATTCCTTCCTTAAAAAAACTTCAAACCCAAAATTCCAGAAAAGATATGAATTTCAAACCAACAATCAATCTCACAGGTATTTAGGTTAAACTCAGCCTTACTTTACCCACTGACTGTCCTCCTCCTTGGTGGTGGGCTTCTCTGCTAAGGTTGCAGCTGCTGTCAGCAGAACAAAACAAACTGCAGAAGGAGTTAGCAGATTGGGTACCATGTTTCTAATGGCAGGAACAATATTCCTGCTCCAACCCCAGTCCTTGCAGCTGCTCATCTTTGTTCATCACATTGTTTAAAGCTAGTTGGTTTATTTGTTTTTTCCCAACTCTTGGCCTTTTCATTGCAGAGCAGAGATGCTGGCTGGAGCACTCAGCCTCCCTCCAGGGCTTGGTCTGGTGCAGGGAGGCTATTGCCAGCCAGCAGGGTGTGATCAGAAATTCATGGCCATTTCTGCCAAGGCAGCAGCCCATCAGCTGGCTGGGAGCCACCAGGGCTGTAAGCATTCCCTCCACTCACGGCATTTGTGGCCAGAGAAGGAGATTGGCCCAAAAAGATTTGCCTTTTGTGGACCAGAGCAGGAGTTCCTCCTCCAAGGAGGAACAGGTTGGGAGGTGATGTGGGGAATGAGTCCCACCAGGATGGGACTGGCCAGAGGAATGGGTGTGGGTTGCAAGGGACATTTAAAGGTCATCTAGTCCAACTTCCCTGCAATGGGCAGGGACATCTTCAACTGGATCAGGTTGCCCCAAGCCCTGTTCGGCCTGACCTTGAGTGTTTCCAGGGATGGGACACCTACGACTTTCAGAATTTCCCACTGGAATGGCTTCCACCATGGAGAACAGAGATAGCCAGAAAATGCTGCAGAGAAAAGCCATGCAAGTAGTTCACAGAATCACAGAATATTCTTAGTGGCAAGAGACCCCAAAGGATCATCAAGTCCAACTCTTAGCCCTGCACAGGACATCCCCTAAATGTCATATCACATACTTTCTGCTTAGCTTACCCAAAACACAGACTTGAAAGGTCTACTCTAAAGAGAAAAGTGTTGAGAAGTTTGAGTTAGCGTTAGGGAAGAACAGCAAAACCTGAGTATTTTTTCTTGGACAGTAAATAACCAAACTCAAACACCTACAGGAAAAAACCAGAAAAATATGAGTTTATATAGTAACAAAATCCATAGATGTGAGGGTTTTTTTTTTCCTGGAGGAGACAGCACAGAGTTTTTGTTTGATTATTTGCTTTATGTTACCATATTGCTATTTCAAATGATTCCATTTTATACCATATCAAGAGGTGTGCTGTGGTAGGGTGTACTTTGTGTATCTTGTGGTAAGACACAGTTTTGTGCATCAAGATATGGGGGCACCTTCCTTGGTGCCCCAGAAACCAGAGAAGAGGAAGAACGACCAACTGTCTACTGCAGTCTCCTATGGCAGTGTTCTTCCTCCAGAAACTATCATTGTTTCAGTATTCAAAGATTCTTGTGATGGTAAATCAGGTACAATTACCAGCTGATGGTACATCTAGAAGGATGAATGAGACAATTTTGGAGGTGAGAATGAAATAGGAGAAGATCTTGGGGCAGGCAAGATAAATTGCAAGAGAGACTAAAACTGATTACAGAGCCATGGGACTGAAAACTCCTTGTTCAAGAAGAATGCATGCTAATTGTTTTTGGCAGAATAAATTATTCCTTTTTTTTCTGCTTCAGTAGAACTGGTTGACTTTTAGCAACTCAATTATCTTCTCTAAGTGAGGAGGGTGGTCCCTTGAGGTCAAGAAGAAGTTACATGTAGAAAGAAAGGACAAACAGAAATGCACAGAAATTGAAGTGCCCTGAGATTGCATGCATGAGTTTCATGAGGTAGAATTTTCAAAACTGCCCTGGAAGGAAAAAGGGAACAACATTTTGGTTAGAGTTTTGTCAGCATCATGGGGAAGGTCAGGTGAGAGATAAAAGATTAACAGCAGTAAGATCATGAGGTTGAAAAAAATGTGTACCAATTTCTCTCCAAGAGAATGACCAGACAGAGTTACTCTATAAATGCTAGAAATCACAGAGCTGCTGTTAGGGAATGGGTCTGAAAAATATTATTGAAAACCAGCAGCATAAAAACTGAGGATAAGATAAACAGCAGCAACGGATCCAGTCGTAATGTGGTCAGGTAGCAGGAAGCACATTTATCCTTTGAGCAGTACAAGAGGAGGAGGAGGACTGAGGCATTTGTCTTGGCAGGAGGCCCAGGAGAAAGTGAAGGGCCAATGAAAGGTCTGAGGCGAGATGGAAGACTGAAGAGAGAGAGCTCTCCTGTGAAGATGCTCTGTTTTTGAATTACTTAGGCCAAGAAATGGAGGCAAACCACTTTGCTTACCTGGTCCAAACACAGAAGAAGGAATATTTAAAAGGACATGAGGAGGTAAGACTCCCTAGTGTGAGAATCACAATCGTATGAGGTGAAGGAAAGGGGAAGGAAAGAGCAGGAAGCCAAGAAGAAGACTGAAAGTTGTGGTAGGGCTTTTGGTGCATTAGGCAAAGAGCTTTATTGTTTTGTAACAGTGTAATTAATAGCTTAGACTGTCAAGGAAACACGATCAATTTACTGTATTTATCCTTCCTGCTGTGTCATTCTTCTCATTTTACATTTATTTAGTATTTTTGGAATATTTTTAAAGACATTAATTTCTCAAAGATTCAGCTAAAAGGGGCTTTTCTTAGGCTTTGCAGATGTTATGGTGCAGGAACAGTGAAGAATGTACTGTATTTACAATTCCATTCCTGTAACAGATAATCAATACATTGTGCTCTGCTGTGTTATGAAAAAAAAAAAAGGAGTATGAGTGCCCAGCTGTGATGATAAGCCCTTTGTGTCTTGAGTGCACTCATTTTCTAAGGATTAGGGGCTGTCCTTTATCAGGCAGTTCACTTCTGAAAGTCCATGATAGATTGCTGCTTTCCCCTCTGCTCCAAACAGCAGCAACCTCAACTTTATCAGCAAGGAAACCCCCAAACACTGCTGTCAGTAAGTAATGCAGAAATATTGCTTTCTCAGGGCAGACTCTCACAGGCAAATCTTACCTTTTTCTCTGGAGCAATAAAAACTGCTGTAGAAAGAGGACTTTCGATGTAAGGTATTTACAAACGGCCATTTCTTTCTTTCTTTCTTTGCAGGGAGGGGGAGGGTTGGGCTTTTGGGGTAGTTATTTCCTTTGTGCCCAGGCTGAAGTGAAATGGTCCTTCAGCATCCATTCTAATGTGCTCATTTATCTAGTGCTGGAAGAGTTGAGGGTAAATGGGACTAAGGTCTAACACATAAAGAAATGTTTGCCAGCAAGAGATGTTTTAGCAGGTTAATGAGGAACTTGGTAACAGCCTAGCAGGGTCATTGCAAAATCACTTTTTTTTTTTGCTGAAATCACTTTAGTCTTTTAAAACCACAGGAAAATGCTTTGCTACTTTACAGGGAGATTTGGTTGAATTGAAAATGGTGTGGAGACACCTGCTATTTTTGAGTATTTTTAGCAGATGTAGGGAAAAATGGTGTGAAAATGGACATCTCCACTGGCTCCTGCAGTCAGCAGGCCAGAAGGGAAGGGGAAAGGGCCTGAATTTTGTCTGCTCAGATTTGCTGCACCCAGTTTTTTTCTGGAGAAATTGCAAGGATAACTTCTCTCACTGACAAGTCATACTGCACCGAGGCTTTGCCTATAACACAGGAGGTACTGAGAGTTATCCAGCATTCAAAAGTCACACTGTGCCCAAGTGGCCTGAGAAAAGAGAAGCAAGACTTGTGTGGGTGCTTGGAGTCACAGCAACACTGGGCAGGCCTGCACACTCAAAGGCAAGGGGAGAGTCTGGCTTTTCTTCAGCCACTGAGACCAGTTTTGGGAAGGAAATAAGATTTGCAGTTGTGGCCACGCACTCAAAAATTTATGTGTCCCAAGTGTCATGCACAGTTATGCTACCCTGCAATGTACCTGCAAGTTTGTCATCAGAAAAGAAACATGACCTTTTAAGACAGCTGCTCTAGTTTATTTTCTCTTTTTAATTTTTTTTCTTGGAGGATATTTGTTTACTAACTCAGGATATACTGCAGATTGTAGGGAGAACAGAGTTTTACAGGCTTGCTTCGTAATCTCAACAATTTTTTTGCAAGGGAACAATTGTAATGCAGAGATGTCTGGGTGAGATACATGAATAAAAGCATTCAGTTTGGCTCTGCCACTGCACTGCCACATATGGCTGAAATTATTCTGCTGAAAAACAAGGTAAACTTTTCATCATCAGTTCTATGCTGCTGCAACCATCCCAATACTAACTGCAACACTGCAAAACTGTCCACTGTTTAGGTAGATTTTCTGGGGAAAAAGAGATTATTAAAAATATATGAGACCTCAAAATATGTGGCACTTCTCTTCCATTTTTTTCACTGGTCCTGAAAAATCTTCTCTGAAAAACAAGAGCTACAACAACTATAAGACTCAGCTTTTCAGCTGGGTGATCTAACAATTCATCCAGGAAGCAGGTTTATGTGGTCATGTGTGCAGGAACTAGGGCTCTTAAAAATTAGTTGTGGCATAATTATTTACTTTAGAAAAACAGTATTAACTTTTACTCACCACTTCTCTTCCTCTACTTGAACTCCTATGGACTGGAACTTACTGGTTGCTTTATTATCACCTGGTATGGTGGATTCTTCAGCACCATCAACCTTTAAAAGACCCCAAAACATGACAGGCAATTAGAATGTATTTTAGAAGAGGTATCAGCTGGCTACTTGCAGTTTCTATGCACCTTAACTACAGAGTGTCTGCACACAGAGCTTGTACCATAAGCTCCTTCATCTAGTCAGTTTCTTTGTGGTGTGCTCTTTTCTGATATTATTAGTGAATATTCATTATTCTTAATTTATAAAGAATTTCTGGTAAGACAACATCCAGCCTGCAACATGCAGATGGATTTTATCTGGTATTTTATGGAGGCTGGATGTTCACATTTGTTAGAGCACATCTCTGAGCAGCTGTAACTCCAGGTACTGTGCCTCACCATTTGATTTTACCTTCGATCTGTTTGTGCATGTGTATGTGAACTCATATCAAAATCAGGTGTTTATTTTGTTTAATTGTTAGTGCCTCAAATCAGAGCACTGCAGAGGAAAGATGTTAAGAAAGCAGATATGAGTCTTAGATTAATTTTCTTTACTGCTTCATCTTGCAAACAGGTGGTTTCCAGGAGCACAGGCTGGAACTTAATACCACATCTCCAGATCCATGAGGAGAGTTGTGCCAACAGTATAAAGTTAAAATTTAACCACAGATGTGTCTTTTAACAAAATCACAATATTCTGGGTCCAATCAGTGTAGCTGTTAATTCCCAATGCTATATATAATATGGATAGTGATGCAAGAAAAATATTTTGCAGCAGACAGAATTTTTGGGCCATAGCAGAGTTGTGAAGTGACCTGTAGCCTCAAACTGACCATGGGTGTGCAAAATATCCAGCTCTAGTGGCTGTTCCACCAGCAACTTCTTGTTGAGAGCCACTTGACCAACCTGTGCAGGAAAAGTGCTCAGAAGCTGTTCTGTGAGGTGAAGTACTTCCTTGATACTGGGGTTCTGGGGAGTTAAATACACCTTAAATCCCGTAACTGACAGAGTGAAGCAACCTTTTGATGGAAGGGCTTTTCTTTGCTTGACTTTGCTTGTTTGCTCAGCAGATTTACAGCAAAGGCTTGCAATGTCCTAAGAGTGGCTGACAGGTGTAGAGGACACACATGGAGGTTCACCAGAAGTGCACACTGGGTTTGTTTGGCAGAGGAGGAAGAAAACCAAGAATACATCTGTGGCTACTGAAGCTTGTGCTGCTCTACAGAGATAGGTTGAACTATCATCAAGGTGTATACTTGGTCTGAGCTCAGACTAAGCCTGGACCAGGCTCCCTTTACTCAGTGAAGAGAGACTGACTACTGCCAGTCAGAGGGCTGACAGTGCACCTACCTCTTTTAGGGCAGTTGTTTGTAAGAGGAGTAATTTCTGGCATCAACACCTACCTTAAGGTATTTCTACTCCCACACTGCCCCTTCAGCTGCACCAGCATGACTGCTTGTGCAACGATGCTGCAAAATGGATCAGACAGCAGACTAGTGAAGTCAGTTTCTTTTATCTGTGAAGCCTGTCTGACTTTAAAAAGCTCATTGATGTGCACAGCTGTGAGGGTGGCACCACACACAGGCAGGAATCCTGTAAGGCTGCATCACTAGTGAGGGTTTCACTTCACGTCATCCCAGCTTCAGGTGGTTTGTACCACATCTTCATGGGTTTGTACACAAAACCTGCCTCGGTACACTCTCATGTACCACCCCCAGATTTCATTATTATTTCATGTGGTTACACTGGTCATCTGTAAACTTCAAAGTTTAAGAGGGAGATTGTCAAAGGCTTGAAGAGCATATGGAGGTCTGTTTTCTTCAGATCTCAGGAAACTGAGGCCTCTATACCTTTCAAAAGCAGCATTTGTTACTTGCAACACTACTATAAGAAGAGATAGCAGGGAGATGGTCTCTTAAGAACCTTGATTTACATTGCCATTGATCATTTTGGCTTCTGCAAACATGGAAACTATTTTCTTGTACCCATTGCTTTGTGGGGTCTTTGCTAAGAAGTCTTGGTTTCTTGGATTGGTGAAATAAGGGATTACAATAATATAATGGCATTTTAGGCTTGGCTATGAGAATACATAACAGAGGAGTTTTTCCTCTATACCTGTCCCGCCTGGATCTTTCTCCTGTGTTTAACACTGAACATCAGCCCTTCTTTCAGAATATACCCAAAAGAAACAGCTGTGAAGCAGTAAAAGTCTACAACAAAGGCAGTGAACTGAACCCACAGGCAATAATTATTATTGCCCTTCCAAGAAGAATTGAGAGAAAAGTCACAGCTTCTCCAGCAGCTACCCCTGGGATGGCCATACCTCAGCATAGCGCCTCTCATCTATCTCATCAGGGTGATGTAGAGATTTCATGGTAAATTCTTAGACTTTACTAATCAGATAAGCCTGTCCAGGCACAGAGTGCTGTGCTTACAACCACCTTCTGCAAGAAAAAAAATATTTGTGTCTTCCTGTGAAGGCTGATAAGCTGTGGATTGCTATTCTATTTGCTCAAGATTCATCTCCTGTCAAAACTTGTGTTGATTCTCAGTTGATTTTAAGTTCAAGCACTTTGTTACAAAGGTAATTCTGCAAACAGGCAGTTGGGAGTCTTATGCACATCTTTTTTTTTGGGGGTGGGAGTAGGGGGTAGAAAAGATAAATTAAGAAAGCTGATTACACAGGACTAGTTTATTTACTCTTGTCCTTTCTGTAAACATGAATGAACTTTAGCAGAGTTAGTTTTCTTCTTCCATTCTACTAGAGGTAACAAAATGTAATTTTCTTTAACAAGGGCAAATCAGAAGGAACTTATCTTCTGTTCCTGAGGCTGAGATAGGAACAATGCTGCCTCATTCAAGTGGCTACCAGTCATTATGAAATGCATGAATAAGCAGCAACAATTAATTCAGTGAGGCTGGATGAAAATATTTTTTTGGTGGTAGTGTAATGTAAATCATTGTTTTACACATTCCCTTTCAATGATTTAATTCATGCCTTTCTGACCCCCGCTGTGTTATGATTCATAGATTAGTGCTCATGTGTGTAATTTAACAGAGCTGAATAACAAGCAGCACAGAGACTCAAACAAATGCTTGCATCTGATGTATTTATGATAAATTAGGAAAACATCATTAGTACCATGCAGAATGATTATGCTGGTGCAAGTTCTACATAGGTACCTGTCAGGACAGGAAGAAAAATATACAAAACACTGTATAATGAGCAGTGAAACAGATGTAGGAATACAAAACAATGGCAAGCATATAATGCATGACATGTACTGTACCTGTATTCCAATAGATAAGCATCTGTTTTTCTTGAAGAGGTCCTTCTTTCTATCTTCTACTGCCACAGTGGCAATGGTTGTGGTG